TATAAATTATACATATTTAACAAAAAATAAAAATGCTACATATACATATACATATATGTAAAAAAATATAACATAATAAAAACTTGAACTGGCTTTTAATTATCAGTGATCATTTTCTCCTTTTTTGAAAGCAATGTTCTCGCTAATTTATTACGATGAAAGTGAGATCAAGATTAAAATCTGACAAGAAAGAACGTTACGCCGTTAATAAATATATATGATTGTAGATATACTTGTATTCTGTAAAATACAAGCGACACATGTGCCGCAAGATTATAACTTTGTGTGAGGTAATAATTAAAAGCCGTGCGCTGATAGATACGCGAGTCGTACAAATTATGATAATAAAATCGTCAACACGCGCCTCGATCTCCCTCCGTCCGGAGAACGCCAATTATTTATACTACACGCGTAATATTTTTATCCGATCGTATTATATTGCAAGCCGTGCAATCGATGATTGGTCGATCGAATAACTCGCGTATTGCGCCACCGGGGAAAACGTTAATGCGATGCGCGCTCGGAGCCGGCTGATAATTAATACAAAATGGCGATTCGCGTGGCAAAAACGTATTTACGACGGATAATGAACGACGTTGGGCGCCGCCGGTCAAGTATGCAAAGCGAATAACACGTTATGCTTGATACCTGTGCGCGATTGTCAGTCGTCGAAGGTAGAAAGGTGCTTCGATCGACCAATCGCCATCATCCCGGCACGTGAGTGCAACGCGTGGATCGACATGTCGATTGGTCGATCGGACAATATCGTGTCCCGAAGGCTGTCTTTCCGTCATTTAATAGACGTCGTTTAATGCTCCGGGTATATAAATTTGCAACGCGTGTCCTCGAACCGTGACACCTCTAAGATCGTAGCCTCAGGTCTTTCAATCATTACGAGCAGCAATTAACCCGCAGTCAGTCAAAAAAATTCTAGAATTTCTACGTAGAATGTATTTTATAGGTATATAAAGGTAGTTTCTCAATCTAGATTTTAATGATAGGCGATTGAAATAGCCTCTCTAAGGTTATTTTTCTTTAATTAAAATATATCGAGGCACTAAAATACTTTTATAGTTACAAGTGATTGAGAGAGAAAATAAGGAAGACAAAACGACAAAAATTTAAATACCTTGAATAGGATTTTTCTATCATGTTCACTATTGATCATAAATTTATTTTACATGTAAATAGCATAATTTACACGTAAAAAAATTTATTATAAAATAAATAGAACGTGTGACGAAAACAATGCGTATTTTCCGTCTTATTCGGTAAAGAATCCTCAAAGTATACTCGGTAACAACACGTTTGCAATCGTAAAAGGCGCAAGATCCGCAACGATTGTCAGGAGCTTAGCTTTCTTGTGACACGGCACCACGTTTCTCTGGCAATACCCTAACGACTTTCCGAGCGACAAGAAGCAGACCACGTCGAGTAAAATCACGAACGTACGTGCGCGCTCCCCAGGTAGTCTCCGACATTGTCTTAGCCGAAGAAAGAAATTCCACCAGGGCGAAGTCACGGTGATTAGACGCCGCGAGGTGTGGAGGATCGGGATCGATGGATTCCTGGAAAGAGCGGGCGTAGGTGTAAAAATGTCTCGGTGGGCAATCGTCACGCTCGGTTTACCGCATTCTGTCCGGCCGGACATCCCGCGGCGAAAGGGGTGATGGTACACGCTTAAACGCACGCACACACTTTCGTACAAACGCATGAAGCGTGGAATCTTTGCGGTTCCCTGACGTCGGCGTCAGGGACGTGCGACCTGAGCAATAGTAAAATGGTACATTTGCAAATAAACAATTGTAAAAATCACGCGTTTTCCTCGAATAAAATATTAATTAAATATTTATTTTTTTTATTATAATTGAGATTGTTATTAAAATAAGGATTAAAAAAATTATTAGAAATTCTTATTTAAAATAATACTTAAAATTGTTACTTTAAATAGTATCTTATAGTTTCTTATATTATAAGAAATATTATTTAAAATGTTATGTAAATAATAATAATTAAATAATTATGACGAAACAAATATGGCACTTATTTAAAAAAAATAATTGACCTTTTAAAATTAATTCACTAAAATAATTAATAAAATATGAGCAAAAACAGGAAGATTTAAGAGAAACCCATCAGATAAAAAATAAAGAATGAATACAAATTCATGTAAATAATAATAATAATTTTAATTAATTATTCAAAGTTTCTATGCACGAAATTAGAAAAATATATTCTGTAAATATTTATTTACTGACTCGTAAGATTAATTAAATATTTTAAATAGAATTATAATTAATATCCAAAAATAAATTATTTTTACTATTTATACAATTCAGGGAAAAAATAAATGATACAAATAATGTTATTTCCTATCTGAAATACTATTTTGCCCATATCTGGCGAGACGCTCTGTCCTACCTAGAAGTTCTTATTCTCCTGCGGCGTCAGAAACAACGCGCTCGAGAGTGGCGAATTCCGCCCGCAATTATCCTGACATAGTACGACATTTGTTAAGGTCCTGTCGCTCGGTCGGAATCTCGGTCGACGTGGCCAATACGGACGATTCTGCAACAAAGCGCGGTTTCTCGTTCACAGCCGAGCACGACGTTACAAAATTACGTTCCTAGAGTTCCTCGAAGATCGGCTTTTTGCCTCGCGTCCGTCCCGTCTTCCCGACAAGAAGAGTCGATGAAGCAATATCTCGCGACATCAACTCGAATAATGCGCGATGATTTCATCGATCAATGCGGCGCGTAATGCGATCGATATCTCGAAATGATATCGAGGCGCGCTCGAAACAAGGATCGGGATCGGTATAATTTACGATAAGGTTTAATCTTCAGAAGCAGCCGATGCAAATTGAATCTAGATAAGATGTAGTAGCGGAATAAAGTCGTCGTTTTACCATCGTAAATACACATAATATATCGCGGATTACACGCTCGCGGGGTACGTTCGATTGAATTTAATTGCGGAAACGCACCTGTTTTCGCGATCCTTTTAATACGTGCCTCGCGCGGAAGCTGCGGATGAAAAGGAAGAAAAGGAAGAGGAGCAGGAGGGACAGATCCAGATACGCGAATAATAAAATGCTCCGAGGAATGGCGCGGTGCGGGTACCTCGTCCCCCTCGCTCCGAATGCGACATTGATAAATAATTATTGGAGCGTAGACGTCGAGCATTTACACACAAGCAGGTGCGCCTCTTGAAGAGACACCTGGTACTGATTAACAAACGAATCGTCCTCGGCACGAGCGAAACGAAATGCGCGCACGTTAGCGACACTTAAACGACCCGATCTAAATTGCCATATTACTCTTGTGCAAACCGCGGAATCCTCATGGACTGTCCAATTACCGGACGAGGTGACGAGTCGTCTCACGTCTCCGGGATACACGCGTTCCGCGACTTTTTCCATCTTGTTCGTTTCTTTTTTTTTTTTTCTCGGCGACGTAAAGTACCGTTAAAGACGGATAATGAGGCGACCTCGCGAGTCGAGAAGAAAGGAAACTCTCTCTACGACGTCTACGCGCGATGCAGCATAATTTCGTATACAAAGCTCGTGAACCGACGAGACCTCCGAACTCCCATTAGATTTATGCGGTTACACAATGTTGCGCGCCGCGATTCCGAGATTGCGCATCCTGGAGGCGCATTTGCATTCAACGAGCGAGGGACGGTTTACGAGGCACGAGTCTTATCTTCGCGAGCGGAAAACATTTCGCTGCCATTAATATTACTTATGTTACGTTCATCGGCGATGATGAATGCCCGCTTAAAGATTACGAACGGCATTAAAATCGAAGTCGCGTGCGGATCTTCAAGCTACCTTCATTTTTCTACAATCTTAATTATGCACGTGGCGATTATTATAAACATGAAAATGAGCGTATTAATTAAGGCGATCTCAATGCTCGATTACACGACATTTACGCGAACAGCGGTACTTGTGCATCGCATGCAGCTACTGGCAAATTATGTGAGAAAAAAAGAGTGTCACGTCGTTTCACTCTCTTCTTGTCTTCTGAAAAAATATGAATGAGCGAGAAATAAGGATATTCAATAAAATCAACATCGATAATCACATAATTTAACATGCGTATCTTATTATCCCCTATTATTGCCAACGCGATATGTTGTTTGAATTTGTTAATTGAATTATTTATCAAATTTATCGATTCTATTTAAATCTTTTCAATGCGTTGACTTAATATATTTCTTATTTAACATAACTGAATTAAACATAATATGTGAGAATTAATATATTAACAGTAAATTTTCAATATCTCAATCAAATGGAAATTCAAGACGGGAAAGGATAAAAATGAAATACGTGTCTCAATCTGATTTTCCCACGTTAATTCAATTCCTTTCAAGCGTCGATTTTACGCTACGAGTTATTTCTGTAACGTTGATTGTGATTCGAATAATTTTTGATCGTCGAATAATTTATTATCGCCCGGTATTTTTTAAAGATCTTCATTTTTCGAGCGATCCGAGTCTACTTCTCGCGACTTCTTCTTAGCAACGCGAATCCGACAAAACAGCGCATCGAATAACAACAGTTCAGTTATCTCCGGACACGCCATTGACGAGCAACACATTCCATCCTCTCTCTACAAAATCATATTTGGCATATCGTTACGACCGATTTCTATCGGTTAATTAAATCTTCTTAGTGATTGTTTAAGCGTGCCGTCTTGAATGTGCCACTTCCAAGTTTACGTAATCGCCGAATCCAAGTTATTTTAGTGTCGTCGCACATTTCGGGAAGTCGCGAAGAGGAGCCACCGCGAGAAATTTCTCGACTTCATCCAGATAATCGCAGATTGAATTGATGAAATTGATATCGGCGATGATTTTCTCTTGATCCGTTCGTGCTCTTACTTGGCTTGTTAAGATTTCGGCGCTCGAGGACTGCGCTCCATGAAACGACACATCAACATTACCATTCTGGAATATTTTTCAAGGGGAGAGACGGCAAGAGGGGCTAAAATATGACGAAGCCGAAGATGTCGGCCCTTGTGGCCTCCGCTATTCGGAATCTGCGAGAAATCCGCGGCTCCACGTCCAAGGAAATCATGAATTACATCAAGTCGCAATACACTAACGGGTCGGATTCCAATATGCAAAAGAAGGTATCTAAATCTTATATAATTTATCTAATATATTTTAGATAAATTCTATTTTCTCCTTTTTTATGTAAAAATTATATATATTACATATCTTATTTTTTATAAAATTTCTTCTATCTCTTAATATTAATTTCTTGTTTATTATGAAATTACCCGATTAATTGACATATTATTCATTAATATTAATCAACAATCAATCATTTTTATAATCTATTAAATTTGAAAAAATACAATTGTAAAAAAATTTTCTATTTCTATGATATATAAAAATCCAGTAATTTATAAAATCTTCAAAATATCTGTAATGCACTATTAAAAAATTAAAAAATTATATTAAAAATTACATTGTTAAAAAATAAAAAAATTATATTAAAAATTGCAAGTTGATAAACGCAATAAAGTTGCATAAAAAATGCTTTTTCGCAGATATACACTGCCTTGAAACGTGGCTTGGACTATGGTATCCTGAAGAAGGACCGCGGTTATTACAGTCTGAATATGGTTCCTGACATGATGTACAAAGCGCACACCTTGGAACCCTTGGAACAAGGTAGGAGACGAAGGGGACGAAGAAGAGGAAGAAGACGTGGCCGCAGAGTATCGCGGAGACGAAGGCGAAGAGTTCGTGCCGCAAGAGACGGAAGGAGAAGAAGGAGGAGGGGAAGGAGGAGGAGGAGAGGAAGGAGGAGAAGCAGAAGAAGGAGCAGGGGAAGGGGTAGTCCTCCACCTAGATCGAGATCTCTCGCGACCAGATGCAACAAGTGCTCGTCGTCCAGGAAACGTACGGAGGATACTTTGAGGAAGACTCCGATAGAGAGCCTTGGGAAGAATATGTCTTACTTGTATAAGAACAACACCGACAATAAAACGCCGTCCAGACAGCAGAGCCGTAGCCGGGATCGAAGTCAGACTCGCAGCCAATCGAGCAGCAGCGACAAGGAGATGATCGACGACCGAAATCGCGATCAGCCGTGATCTGCGAAAAGATGCTCCGAATGTTGATCCTTTGCAGTCGCGCGTATATATCGTCTTTGTAAAGTATCATAAATGATAGGATATCGAGGGGGAAAATTTATACAAAATTGAAAAAAAGTTATTAAGTATGAACCAAGTATTACATGTTGTTAAACATTATGAGAAATTAAATTTCGGAATCGAAAGCAAACTCTTACAATCTTTCGATCGAGACTGCAAAGGATTGATCGTTCGACGCGGTGGTTACCGATCAGTGACGCGGGGATAACTCCTTTTTTTTACGAATTTACACATTTTGTCTCATATATTGACGATAAATTACAGTGGCGGTCCGAAATGTACGTCGACAGCGCAAGCCTTGTTTTGTAGTCTTTGACTTTTTGCAAATTTTGTATGTTCTTACACTGCCAATTATATACTATTACATCTCGTCAATAATTCCTACTTTAATCGACCTGATTATTTTCTTATGAATCTGATATCTTATGAATATTTTCTTCTGATTATTCTTATCTTTGTTTTTAATTATTTAGCCAATTATTTCTGAATGACATAAAAGGATGATGCAAAACTAATATTCTTCCTGTCGTGTTCGAGAAACATAATTTCGTTCGAATCCTCGGCGTATTCTTGGCACGATTTTCAGACGCGAACGTGGCTCTCGTGGCTAACTTGAATAAAACCAACTGCGGCAATTCTTGGAGGCGTCAAGATCGAGAAGTGATTAGTAGTGTTTGCCGAGAAAGCGAAAGAGAGAAGAGGATTTTGCTGATTCCCGTTTAAACATCTTGCAACAACCTAATCATCGCAATCCTAACTGCTCTCTTATTCTTCGACAGGACTCTCTCCCGGAGGTCGACGCAATGCTACTACCGGGGATCTATCAAGCGATATTAATGCTGTTCTAACGGTGACTCTTTTTATCCTAAGACCCTCTTTATAGCCGAAGAACCGTTCGCTGTTCTTTCAAGAACGAAACTCTCTTTCTCTCTCTCTCTCTCTCTTCCTGGTGGTCCATCTGGATTTTAATTTCGACGTTAAAAAAGCGTATCGTTAAATCTAGAGATGCTATCTTGACTTGTATCGATTTGTTCCCGTCCCTGACGACCGCAAGCTTCCGTAAGATTCCAAGGCAATAACACTGAAGAATATTTTCTACTCTATAATTGAATATTGTAACCTATTTTAAAATGTAATTTTTTAAGTTCACGTTAAAAATTAACTTTCCTTAGAGACTTTATATCTCATGATGGGTATCTCTGGTAAAATATAAATTTATTTTCGAAGGAAAAATATTTTTGTGTCAAACAGCGACTCTTATATAATCGTTCATAAAAATTTTTTTGTACACGTGTAATAATGTATAATTATAGAAACGTATGAGAAAGAAATTTATTAATAAATTATGAAAGCGACAAATTAAAACAGCGGTACGCCTAAAGTAACGCATAACGGTTGTCCCTAGTATTTTTCCCTGTGTTTTCGTTGTGTTGAAAAAAAACGAAAGTTGCTCGCGGTCGTTGGCAGACATAACCATTGTCCCGAATGGCGTTTCACGTTCGCTCATCACTTGCACGGATCTACCTGAATGACGCGAGAGGCGGACAGGAAGAGGCCTGGGTAGAAAATCTCGCGCGATATTGCGATACTATCTCCTCTCATCGCGTACGTGAAACTGTGCGGATACTGAGGTGTCAGTGGGTTCTCACTGGCCGAGATAGCGTCACTCCGACTTTATACACGTGGTATCATTAAGGTAGATTTATGTTACCACCGAGAGGCGGCAGAGAGTGTCGACCCTCCGGGGCCAGATTAGGCGGTTGACCGGAGGCTCGCTCCCGCGGATATGTACCTCCGACTTAACTTACAACGTAAGTTATATCGGCGAAGCAAGAAGTGTACGCACGCAACGTTCTGCAAGTATGATTAGCAAAAAAGAAGATAAAATTCAAGCGATTTTATTACGGAAAACGGAAATAGCATTTGGTCTTTTTGCGTAACGGATACTTCTCCTCACTTTATATTTTTGTCGTTATTCTCGCCTTAAGAAACTGACATTTTTTATTTAAAATTTATTTTAACGTCTTTTCAATAATATTTTTATGAATGTTACCGAAAAAGCAGACTTTGCCGCATGTCAATTTTATAAATGTTATTGAAAAGATAAATATTGAAGTAAATTGGAAATAAAAAATGTCAGTTCCTGCTACATGACACTTGGCTGGTAAATATTGGAAAAGAGAATTTAGCTTTTTATAAAATGTTTCTGAAAAAATCATATTTATTTCATTATTGCAATTTATATATAGGAATATTATGAAACTTTATTCTTATGTTTTATTATTATAACTTGAATTTTTTAGTGCGTATAAAAATGCCGAGATAAAGCAAAATGAAGGAAAGGCCGAAGAAAAGGACAAGATCATCGTGCTCTAATTCGTGTAACTCGGTCTACATTCCAGAAGTTTAATCGGCCGGCCACCTTCGCGGCTAATTATACCTAGATCACGTGAGAGAAATTTTAATTCGTGCCATCCGCGCGGTTGATAACCAATCGTAAACTACCGGGTACTCGAATTAGGCTACGCCGACGATACGGAAACAGCAGGTGGCAATTCTACAACATCCGATTCTACATCGAAGCGTTATTAACGACTGATACGCAATACGGTTCGTGTACTTAACTAGCGGCCAAGTATGCTGCATCATCTACTAGCATTCTCCTAATCGACTGTCTTACATTATGCGTGACGGTACTTCCTTTATGTGATGGACGTCCACACAATCAATTTCGACCTCGATATCATGTTTCATTTAAAGTCTCACATATCTGAAAGTTTCATAAAATTCTTTTTTTAAAAATAATTAATAAATTTATATATTAAATTCGTTTTATCAGCAATTTAAATTATTAAAGGAAAATTATATACATCAAGATATTAAGATTGCTTTTATTTGTTTATATTTAATTTAATATTTTAGTTTTTAATTAATTTAAATGTTTAATTTTTTATATTTAATTTATATAAACATTTTATTTTATATATATATATATATATATATATATATATACATTTTATTTATATATATTTAATTTAATAATTTTTATACTTAATTAAATATTGTATACAAATTTAAAAAAGCGTAAATATATTATCAATTTTTAAAAAAAAAGCTTTATACGAAAAAATGTTTATATTTTCCATTTATCTTTGCATGAAGAATTACTTTCAATTTTAATTTCCGATCTCGTATAGGAATTAATTTCGCGCGTTTAGTGTCTATATCGAATTCATCAGAAATAACAGATCTTATCAGCAAATAATCAAATACCAAAGAAGCATCAAAGATAATAAGTCTATTATTGTAATAGTGATAGCAGCGACAATGGGATTGATTAACGATGTAATTGCGAATTACGCTGCTACTGCCGTTCCTCCCTGACGGAAGATTTAGCGCATGTTCTACCTGGACTTCTTTTCGCCGACATTTCGCTTCGCTCGACCGGCGTTCATTATCGCGGCCGTTCTCTATAGCCGCTTAACTGTTTTGTGCCGACTGATGGATAGCGCGTTCGCACGTTATTACCGGACACTCGGCCAGTTTTATGGGTCTAGATTGGTACACGGCTCTCTTAGCCCTGGTCTCTCTTAAGCCCGATCAACGGCAGCGCTAATAGCGTGTTTACCGATAATGGTCCTCAGTCGCAAGGAGGAAAATATCGGGCGCGACGTGAGTTGGACGTAATTTATACTGGCGTTTTTTACCAAGTCAGCGAATCCAGCCGGAAGCAGTAGATACAATGAACACACCTGTCTGGCTTTTTGATCGGAAAATCTGAGCGCGATAAACGCGACGACTTATTTCAATTTGACGATCGTCGATTGACTAGTCATCGTTAAATGAAAGTAGGATTATTACTTTTACGTCTATAATTATTTATTGTGAAATTTGATCGTTATACATCATATTATACCTGTGATGGAAAAATTGTGTTTTTAAAGTGACAATTTTTAGAAAGGTGTCGCCAACGTTTCCAATGACCGAATGACTTGAAACGGGCTGGAAACGCGGACCTGAACACAACGGTGTCGTTGCTGCGGGCTAGAAAGCAGTAGTATTACTTCTCCACCAAGCTACATTTGCGTAATCTAAAGTATTCCTTTTTCCCCTTAGATTGTAATCTCTTGAAATCAATTATAGCAGTTGTGACATTAAAGATAACGATCGTAGCACAACTTTTCGTTTTTATCAATTATTGAATTGTAAAAATTACATCACGTTTACGATAGAAAAGGCAATTATACACAATTTACTGAACATTAAACGGTAAAAAAGATAAAATTAAAAAAGAAATAGATTTATTTTGTTGTACAACAAAAATCTTTGAATGACCAATAAATGTTTATTCGGAGTTTAATTAATTTTGTTTTGATAAATTTCGAGGTTGAATATCAGCATTATAAAAGCGTGACAAGTCAAAAGTACGGCAAGAGTCTTGACGTTACACCTGCACTGTGCCTTCAATAGACACGCTTTGCGAATATAGCTCTTTTGTGACTTCTTAAACACAGGCTGCATCGCGGTTCTATCGTCTGTTTACAACGTTGCAACCCACATTTGCATCGCTAATTAGCAAGGTCCCACACGGTTGATGTCAACGTCGATAGCACTGACTGGTCGGTTTTTCATCGGAATCGCATCGTGAATTTTAATTATCCTCTTCGTCCGTCGATCGCTCGTATTAGTGTCTTTGATTAATCCTGTTGTGATAATCTGCATGTATTATGGGAAACCGTAACGTTTTTATATCCTTCAAATACTATGTTAGCAGTTTCATGTATATAAATAGAGGTACTTTAACTTAAACAAGCGAAAAATAAAATAATCTCCTTTCAAATGGAATTAGCTTCAATTTCATAGGTATTTAAAATACGAAATATGTTGATAGAATTCAAATAACATACTTAATTATTATTATTCACTTTATATTATTATTC